ATCAAATTCCAATGCACATGAAATGTTATTTTGATAGTTTTTCCTAGGTATCAAAAAGTACAAAAACTATTCTTAGCTTGTATGCCATGCAAAATTGGGCAGTAGTTTGCTTAGCCCTGCTCTAATATTCTGAGATGACAGTTAAGTCAGCTGTACAGAATCCTGCGGAGCCAGACATGTGCAAACTCCTCCACGATGTGTACAACACACAATGTGGTCCAGGACAAGTGGAACTGGATGTCTGATAAACCAGTTCTCTCAGGCTAACACTAGTAACACAGGTAAATGAATATCTCTAACCATTTAAAATTGTATGACCTGGGGAAAGTTATTCACTACTTTGTGTCTCAACTGCCTCAGCTACAAGATGAAGGTTAGGGCTGGTGTCTCCATTAGAGATGTAACATGGGCATTACAGGACAGTACCTGGCATTTAGTATGAGTAATACACATATTTGTTAATTTAAAAAAAATTTTAGCTTCAGGTATTCATTTTGGAATACAGAGGGTGGGAAGAAAGAACTAGTAAATAATGAGCAAACTATGTGTTCTTTTTTTAAATCATAGCTTTGCAGCAGGTGTTATCCAGCACATTTTACAACAGAAAGTGTGGCTCAAAAGAGCAAATGTATTTAAAGATGACAAAGTAAATGTTGAAACCAATCGGCCTTCAAGTGTGTAGTACTTGTCCTGTATATATGCTTCTTAGGACTAATTCCTACTGGAGACTGTGGTGATTAAGGGATATCATGTATGTAAATTTGCTGCTCAAGTTGGGAAGTAGTATAGTATATAACATGAATGAGAGGATCTTTCACACTGTACTTTAGGTTTAATTTTAGATTTCAAAGATTTAAGAATGATGGAAAGCAGTTTTCCATGTAGACTTGCTTAAGAGAAGTAATTCACCAAAGTCTTTAACTTTTAAGTTTTTCTTTAACCAAAGTGAAAAAGAATGATTTTTATGATTTCCTGTAAAGCAAGCTAACAATTGACTCAGACTCTTGGAAGTTTCTTCACAGTAGGAATTCTGCTGCCCATAACAACTAATTATGTAACATTTGTGGATCAAAGACATTTTATAGCAACTTTAAAGTCTCCAAGGGGCATCATAGCATGTATCTTGTAAGGAAATTTTAATGTTTACTAAATGAAAAATGAGATGTTATTCTTGCAAATGTTTTCAATTTTCAACTTTATCAACAAGTTTTTGCTAGAAGGCTTTACTCTTTTAGGATTTCATTATCTATATCAACCAATCCTTTCTTATTCCATCTAACATTTCTTTTGCCAGCCATTGATAAAAATAAAACCCTGAAGTTTCAAGGCTACAGATAGGATTTTCATTTGCTATATTTAAATAAGAAATATCCTGTCTACCTCTTAGAGTGCTGAGGATTAAGTGTATGAACACATTAAAGGGCATATATAATCATAGCTTGCAAAAGACAGGCTACAGTGATAAATACAAGAATGTCTACAATTCATCTCAAGGGAAAAAGAAAATCCATCTGAGGATTTCATGTAGGAGAGTACCAAGATTGCTAGTGAGCTAGACTTAAGAGGCAGAATCCACAGGACTTAGGTGATGCTCAGACATGGGAATGAGGCAGATGGTAGTCTACCAGATGCTCTAGTACTCTCTCCTTCATGGCACACTTATAAGTATTGTGAGGTTAGTTGTGGCCATGTAACTTTTTCAGGATAGTAAAAAATGCGATTACTTATGGGTGGAAACTTTAAAAGCTGGCATTCAATCCTCTACGTTACAGGAACCAAATACAAGACAGTGGCTTTGTCAGCTTGATTCTCAGATAAAACAGAGGACCCTTCCTACCCTTCTCCCAAATTAAGACTAACCTGGACATGTGTCAAGCTGAATAAATCAAACACTGCTTTTCAGCCATTGAGATGTGATGGTTATTAATGCAGCATAATGTATCCTATCCCAACTAATGCAGTAAGAAAGTAACGTTATTTTAGATATGCGTTTGGATAAGAACAGTACTTGAAACACACATAAAGTGGTTCAAAATCTGTCAATGGGCACTAAGGCTTGTTGATACAAAATCTCATTTAAATAATTTACAAGAAAAAGCTTTGCCTGTATCTCTGCAGAAAAGATGGGTGCATTTTTAGACAAAAAAAATTAACTATGTTCTTGAAAAGTTATATTTCTTATGGCTTAAGAATTAGTTTTATAGGGTCAGGGATTTAGCTCAGTGGTACCACACTTGCCTCACAAGAGCAAGATCCTGAGTTTGATCCCTGGTACCAAAATAAAGAGTACTTTAAAGTGTATGACTTCTTTTGTATTTTGAGAATTTCAAAGTGGAATGTCAGCTTGCTTATTCCTTTCTAGCATATATTAAACAAAACTCATGGTTAAGAAGAGATAAGAAGCAAGGTAAGTCCTTTTCTTTCTTCTATATAGTCATCCTTTACAATCAGCCCCTGCCTCCAAAACATAAATATAACTACCTCCAACTAATAATAATGATAGTAATAATAATGATGATAGCTAGCAATTATCAAGAAGTGACTATTAGTCATTAGTTTAATACATACATCTACTGCATTTTACATACGTGGAAATTAAGAAGGCCATACTAGAATAGGGACTAAGCAAGGATATTTCCAAAGCCTTTTTCTCATGACCATGACACCCAACTTCCTCTCTTATACAAGCCCACGTAAATTATTTTAATGATGAATATTGAGAAAATAAATTGTAACTGGAAATTTTTTCCCCAAAAAAGGCAATTTCAAAGATAGGAAGGAAGTACAAAACAAAAGAAATATATCTGGAAAGGGGATGCTGTGGGCAGCCAGAGTATAAGGTAGAGAAGATGGAGATAAAATGAAGTTCCAGATGGCAGAAGGGAAAGTCTGACCAAAACTAACATCTGCCTCAACTATATTTTCTTTTCTCTTACATGTCCCAGGTGAATTCAGTCGGCTGTTTTAGCTGGGAGAGCTACTTCTGTAAGCAAACAGTTCAGAATAACAAGATGAACAAGACACAACAGTATATCCAGGGGATTCACAACCAACCCTGCTATGGCTCTAAGAATTTTACTGTAAGATGAATAGCATCAGCAGATTCTGGGCTAAACCCGCTGGACTGTCTCTTGGTAGGTGTGTGATTCAGTATAATTTCCTGGATGGTTGGGTCTCCATTTCTTTCTCAGGAAAATGGGGGCAATAATATCAACTTCAAAAGACTATTTTACTTTTCTCTTCTTTTTTCCAGATCTCAACATGCCAAATTGAAAGCTGCCCTTTGCCAAGCTTGGTTTCAACTGCCTGTACAGGAATACCTTAAATTATTTCCATGTACAAAATACAAAACCCTACATATTTATTATGTAAGAGAAATTAACAAAAAGAATCTACCATATTATCAACCAGTAAATATATAATAAGTCATTATTACATACTCATGACTGCACTAGGCACTAAATATGCCATGAAGAAATAATACCATGAGTGGAGACCCTACCATCAGACCACAGTTCAAAGTTCAACTCTACTATTTATTTACTACCATGGTGACCTTGGGTAAAAACTAACAACGGTCAACAACAAAAGCTAATGTGTGACAGTTTGCTAAACCAAGCTCTGCTACATATATTCACTTTATATAATTTTCTCAATACCCCTAATGAAGTAGGTACCATTACTTTCCCACACAGAAACTGAAGCAGAGAGAATGAGCAAATTGACCAAGGTCACCAGATTCTAAAACAGCAGGACACCAGAGCATAGACAAATAGTGTTTATGTGCATAATCACTGTCTGCAGGGCTAGAAAAACCATCTGGAAAAAGCCTAGCTGAGTAGTCAGCACATAGTAGGTGAACAAGAAAAGCACAAGGATATAAGTTATACTGGAAGACAAAGCAAGCTATAGGAAGGAATACAGGTTCCCCAGTTCCAACCTTCTTTCCAAGTCCTAGGGCAACTGGTCCATTATTATGCAAAGTTGGATCATGGCTCATGCTTTATTTTATACTGTGCGGGGCTATAACATGATACAAATTTAAGGCTGAAACCATTCCAAATTACTGTGATAGCTCTTTATTTCAAGGACTGTGTTTCTGGGACTCTATAGGAAGTCTGTAATTTAGAATCACTGAATTTGTGAAACACAGTCATCTAGTTTAACCCCTGCCACTAAAGAAGAGAGAAAAATGAAGATAGGTTTAGTCATCTGTTCCAAAGTCACAAAGTTTGCAAAGATCAGATTCTTTTCTTCCAAATGAACTGTCTGCTCTGTAGCAGTGTTTCTATACTAAATCAGCTGCACACTGATGGACACTAGCTACAGAAACCTAGATAGAATAAGCAGAACGTGCATGCAAAAGTGCAGAAAAGAGTGTAGAGGATGAGTACAAAGAAGCAAAATCCATGCTCACTGACCAAAAGGTCGTCTGTCCTGTTTTGTTTTATTGAACTAAGTTTCAAGATAAAGTCCCTCCAAAGAAAAAAGAGAAGGCTTTTCTTCTTTACATAGTATAACAGCAGATTATTTGAAGAAAAAAAAGTCCTGTTACAAATTTAGGAAAGTCCTCAAGACTCCACAACTATACCCTTCATTGTTCATGCATCCTTCAGCCCCATGTCCCTAAAACTTGAGTACTTGGATATCTTAATGCAGACAAGAAAGTTGAGGACGTGAAGCCATACTCCCCAAATGCTGCCAAAATACAATGACAAATGTTAAAAAGTCATTTTCATTCTTGCCTCCGCCAAGTTAAAAGGACACTCCCTTTTTAATCATGTCTAATTACCAAAATAATTAGTTCTCTACCAGATCTCCTGTTCAGAACCCGCAGTATATCTGCCTTATTTGCAGATGAATTTTTCGGGTACTACAAAAAGTAACTATAATTCCTATTGTCAATGTCACACCCCTGAGAGTACTTACCTGACATAGCGCCCTCCCTGGTGGTCCTAAGACCTCTCAAAAACGGGCTTAGCCAAGCGGTTCTCACTTACCGAAAACACTGCATTCTGAAGCCCAAAAGGTATGGGGGTCAGTCTGGCCAGAGCCACCACCTTCAGGCCGCTTCCTCCCTCCACGACGCGAATGACGGCGCTCAGCTTGTCGCTGCTCTGGATCCTGGCGGCCACCCAGGCAGTGAGAAGCCGCTTGCAGACCACATGGGCGATGAAGGTGCCGATGAGGACGCCCACCACCATGAGACCCATGCCCAGCACGAAGCCATACAGGTAGCCAGCGGCCACGTTGAGCACGATGTAGCCCCAGCCGCAGGGAAACGAGACAACGATGAAGCCCACGACGAAGAGCAAGACGCCGAACAGAGAGTCGAGGCTTTCCACCCAGAGCAGGAGATGCTGCAGGTAGCGGCGGACCAGGGCCAGGGAAGCAAAGCACAGGGCGGCCAGAGCGCACACCAGCACGAGGCTCCGGCACCAACAGGTGCTGCCGAGGCAGCAGCAACGCCAGCTTCTCACCTCCGCCACCCCGACCACCACGCTACCGCCGCCGCCCTCGGGGC